TTTGATAATAACTATCTGTATCTTTATATTTAAGGTATATGTCTTACAAATCTCTATGTCTTGCTTTCCTATCCAGTTTGACAATCTGCCTCTCAACTAGAATGTTAGATCATTTACATTTAATGTAATCATGGATAAAGTTGGGTATAAGTCTACCATCTTACTGTTTGTAGGTCTCCCATCGTACTGTTTCTATTTATCTCACCTGTTTTTGTATTGCTTTTGCATTTGTAACTTGAAAATCTCCTGGCCCTCAAACCCTGGGAGTTGTTCAGCTTCAACCTTCCCTGTAGCCCCTGCCCAGTCTTGCAGCATTGTCAGCCTGTGCATTTGCACCCCAACTCTCAGCAACAGACCATCCCTCTGAGATTTCTGTCGCTCTCTCCGTCCATGATCCTCCTTCTCAGTGCTCTGCCCTGCTGATTCCAGTTGTGACAGTCTCCCCATCTTTTGATCTCTGTCTTCTCAACCCTGGGTGACCATCATGCTCTGCTTGGGTTCCCCCTTCCTGCGACGCGGTCCAGAAAGTTCTTTCTGCCAGAACGGGAAATCATAGGGCTCACCTCATCTTCTTCCATCGCTCAGGGCTCACAGTCCTGTTCTGCCACTTGTCCGATGTCTGTAAGTGCACAATCCCAGCAACTTGGAAGGTTGAGGCAGGAGGATGGCCCGAGTCCAACAGGGCAAGGCTGTGGTGAGCTGTGATCATGCCACTGCACTCCAGCCAGGGTGACGGAGTGAGACCCTGACTCCAAAGAAAGAAAGAAAGAAAGAAAATTCTGTAGCTCATCTTTAAGGTTAAAACTCTTACCAACTTCTGCCAAGAAAAAAACAAGAAACCCTTCTGCTGTATGAAGTACCCCACTTTTCGTGCCTTAGTGGCTCAGCTTGGACAAGTCCCTTTTTATTTTTGACAGTTTTCCCACAGGAGCAGAATTGAATCCAAACTGTCCCCTGGCTCATTTGAGACATTGCATTTTCCGCTCTAGAATTCCGTTTGATTCTTCTTTATATCCTGTTTCTTTCTTCATGTGTTCCTCTCCCTGGCCACTGTTCCCTTCCCACTCTTTCTTCCCTTTTTCTTCCCAGCACCGCTGGCTGCTTTCTGTGCCTTGAATATGTCATGTCCAGACCTACCACAGGACCTTTGCACTGGCTGTGCCGCAGTCTGAGTGAATCCTCACAGTGCCTCCCCTTCGCCACCCTGATCTCCATCGCTGCTCACCACCTCAGAGACACACCCCTGCCCTTCATCTCTAGACCCCATGCCTCTAAGTCCCTGAGAGGCTTCTCTCTTCATGCTTGTCAGTGCATACGCTCCTTGACTTACAGTGGGGCTGTGTTCCGATAAGCCATTGTACGTGCTTCAGGGACTGTCTGTACTTGAAATCACTGTTTTGTTTGTCTCCCTTGCTTCGCTAGAACATCAAGCCTCTGAGAGAAGGGCTTTGTCTTGGCCACCTGTGTCCCCTCAGCACCCGAAGCAGCCCCATGTCATGGCATGTGTGCCTCCGCCCCAGCATCTAGCCAGGTCCTTCTTTGGGCCAGACCTTGTGCTCCCTGCTCCTGCCCTCCCACTGGCTGTGTCTCCCACGTGGGCCATCCGACTCTCCCAGCTCCCCCAGGTCTGAAGCCTGTGCATCCTGCAGGACTGCTCAGGAGTCACCTCTTTGAAAACTCCTCCCTTCCCAGTTTCCCACCCGGGAACGGCCTCGCTCGCCTGATCGTCCGCATGGCCTTTCCTGCGCTTTTGTCGTTTACATGCGTGGCCAATCTCCCCTGTGAGGCCGGGCCCTGCTGACTTGGCCAAGTGTCCATCCCAGTGCCTGACCGGGCCTTTCCCAGAGCAGGTAGTTGCTTAGGGAAATACTTGTTAAATGAGTAGTTGAAGAGACAGTATAATTTCGTTGGCTGCTGGTTCAGGAAGCAGAAATCTTAATTAGAGTTTTGCAGACTTGTGTGCCTGGCCGACTCCCTCCTCCAGCACCCTCCCCCATCCTTGACTGTGATGACTGGAAGCAACGAGCTAGTGCTGCGTGCACTTAGGAAAAGGTGCTGAATACATACAGGTGACGGTATTGTTGTTTGTTGTAATTACGTTGAGTCCTGTGTTGCATGATGAGCTACATCATACCCAAGGATGGTCTTAGGAACGAAGTATTAGGTGATTGTAAAACACTTACAAGTTTGTTGCGTGGCGGGTGGTGCCTGCAGGAAGTCATGTCCAGTTGGAGGCAGCTGGGAAGACCGAAGTTACAGGATTGTGTGTGCTCCTGTTTCACCTATGGGCATGTTCTCAGACTATTTCCTAACTGAGCTGCTGAGATTGGAGGCTTCTGACATTCAGAATAAGACCTAACAGTCCTTATGTGGGGTTTAAATGGCATTGGAAATCATTAAAGACAGAAAGCTATGATTTTCCCAGATTAGCATGCAGGTTGGGGTTTGGCATGCCAAAATTCATTGTTTTGGTCTCCAGCCCAAACATGCTAGAGTCATTATATTGTCATGTGGTAATTAGCTGTTCCTTTAATACAAGTAATAAAAATTAAGCCTAAGAGGTACTTTAGCAATGCTTTTTACATATCCGCAAACAAAATCCGAATGCTACAGGCATTCAGTTGTTCAGCTACACTGAAGTCAAGTTTGAAGTTTAATGCAGAGATATTCGAACATTCAGTTCATTCTTTATTCTGTGACCAGTTTTGCTACTTAGGCATTAACCTTTAATATTGTTAAATTAAATATACATGCTATAATGAAGAATTATGAGATTGCCTGAATTTTCATTTACAGTATGATGCTCAGGAAAATTTGTGTGACAGTGTAGCTTTTATTCACTTGACAACGTGCATGTTATTTTTCTGTGTCACTGGATTCCTTGCTGAATCGCATGAGGGAAGCTATTTTCTATTTGAAGCAGATACAGTGGAGTCCTGGCCTTTTAAAAAGAATGGACTGGAACTGTTGTTGACGGAAAGTTTAGGTATGGCGGGCAGTATATTAGCTTCGTACTTTTAAAATAAAATGTGCTGGCACATGTGCTGGAAAGCATATGTGAGTGGCTCTCAATAGAATTCTGTACAAGTGCTTCTCCTCCCTGCCTCACCTTCCTTGACCTCTGTGTCAAGTTCAAATTGTAGTTCTGTGTGAAGTAGACTCTGGGCATTCATTCATTTCCTTCAGGCCATTTGCCCAGCACAAAGCCATGGAGATACGGAAGGGGGCGGGTTGAGAAGGTACCCTGGGAAGATCCTGACATTAAAAAGAAAACAAACAAAAAACACCTGAATGTTCTGAGGAATTCCATTTTTTGTATTATCACTACTCCTGCTTACAAAGAACTATCTCCCCATTTCAGTAGTTCTTGGAATCAAATGTAATATCAATACTTCATCATAATAATAATAAGCCATAAACGAGAGGAATGCTGTCATAAACTCTACACACACAGAACTAGTGCCCAGCTGCCCATGATCCACATAATGGACAGTGTTTGTGGTAAGCCCAGGTACCAGGGTCCGTGACGTTGAGCCCGATATATCCCTGTTCTGCCTTTCGTAAACTCTGCACAGACACTGGCATCTCCAAGAGGTCCTGGCTCCTGGTGGACGCGTTAACTGAGGCGTGGTAGACCTGGCCTGCGATTCCAGGAACCCCGTGTGGTCTGGAAAATTAATGACTCTGGCATTTGAAAATTAAGTGAGCTCTTGAATATATACCCTTGTTGATCCACTCTGGGCAGTGTTTAGCATTCCTCAGCCCGAGACTAAATCTCTGCGGCCATTGCACAAGTAACGCTGGCGCCCACACCAGAAGTGTGCTCAATAATCTTTTCTAAGCCCCTGGACTCAGGTCCTTCAACTCTGATAGAGCCTGAGATTCCGAAGGAAGGGTTCCATGGGCACCCAGCAGGTGGATTATAATTGCCTTGTAGACAGTAGAAGGAAAACGAAAGATCGAAGCAACGTGGAAGAACATTGAATGCTGCTCCATCCTGTGCTGAATTAACAGGAAAGGCAGAGGCCAAGATCTAAACCGTGATTCTGGGTCTGCGATCTCTAACATTGGATTGAGATCCAGTTTTTTGTAAGTAAATCTGATGGCAGACGTGACATTGAATTGGCCTCAAGACCTCACATGACTGGCACGGATGCTGTCCTGCTCATGTTGCTGCACTCTTTGTATTCTAGTTGGGACTCGGTGACCTCCTGGCTGGCTGGCCTGCAACAGGGCTGTGCTGGGTTATCAGCTGTGCTTCTGGAGGATTCTCCAGACCTCAGCTCCGCAGCTGCTGACCCTGACTCTTCTGAGCCCCCTCCACTAGTGAAGGAGGATTATGTGGAAAGCGGTCAGGTCCTGAACTGGGGTGGCTTCTAGGAATGCTCGAGCAGTTATTTCCTCTGTTCGGCCAGGTGACCTCCTTGTTGCATGGTCACTTGGAGATAACAGACTTGGGTTCACGTTCTTTGTGCCCACTAACTAGTGACCTCGGGCGTGAGTCACTCAGCTTCCCAGAGCTTTAGTTTCTGGCATCTCTTTCCCAATATCCTTGAAGGATAAACTGTACGTGTCCTAAGAACTGTGTGATGCTCTCAAGAGTGTCAGGTGTTATTGCCAACTCCATAGAATTATTGGAACTTGAAACTTACAGCACCTTCCAGGGCCTGTTTGCTGTTCGCATGTGGCTCTGGATACGGATGGGCCCGCAGGGCTCCGGCTCTTGCTGCTCCCTCGTGTGTCAGATCAAAGAATTAAAATCATGATGGTGTCACACCAAGTCAGAGCAGTGGGCAGATACCAGGGAATTCTATGACTCTTCTCACCCTCTCTTCCCACCTTGGAGACCCTGGGGTATGTCCTTCCTCTGTGAAGCAGCACAGAAGACCCCGTCCGGCAAGGGTGCTCCTGGCCTCTGGGGAGCCCCAAGAGACTGGGTGTGGCCCTAAAGCTGGCACATTTGGGTCCAGAATGGGGTGACGAGTTTTTCTGTCTTGCAGATCCGGTGCCAGCTCTGGACCTCGGGCAGCAGCTCCAGCTCAAAGTGCAGCGCCTGCATGACATCGAGACAGAGAACCAGAAGCTTCGGGAAACGCTTGAAGAGTACAACAAGGAATTTGCTGAAGTGAAAAATCAAGGTTGGTGGAACGTGCACTCTGCTCTTTCTTTTTTTTATTTTTTTAACTCTCTTCCCCACATTGTTGGGACTAGCTATAATTGTAGTACACATCATATAGTCAGGGTGGGGCAAGAACCAAAATCCTTGGAGAGAGATAATAATAACGCTTAGCTACTTCCAAGTAAAACTTTCCTCTGCACAATAACCGTGTGTGATTTTATTGCCCTCTGACGGGACTGATCAGGATTCTTTGAAAATTCCTCCCATGTCATCATGTGATAGGGCCTGCCTTTTAAAGGACTGATGCATCGCCTCTGGGCGACACCTGTCAGAGAGCCAGCTATGATCAAAGGGTCACACGCAGTAAGTCATTTAATAATTGCTGCCCATACATTAAGGCTTCAGACGCATCCTTAAAGGCTGCATGCTTAAGCACTGCTGTTTCCTTGTCAGCATCACCTACTCATTAGGGATTTAATGAAAGAAAACAACCCCTTGGTGTGGCTGCCCAGCCGCCAACAAGACAGAGAGGGCAAAGGTTGCCTGGCTTTTCCTGTCAGGGAAGAACAAAGAAATCCCTCCTGTGCCTAAAATCCAGAGGCGTTCAGGCTCCTGGAGCCTCGCGGCTTCCTCGTCTCAAAGAAAAACCGCAGCCCCATCTGACAGCAGCTGCGAGTTTTTCAGCCAACTCCAAGTCATGATTCGGCCTGTTGGTTTTTGTTGGGGAATGTGGGTAAGCAATCAGAGAGAACGGAGAGGCAGCCCACTCTGAGTGGCCTCCTTCCGAGTATGCTTAGAGGCCTTGATGAACAGGTAACTGGTGAAGATTTTTTTTAATGTCCTTTGGCTTTAGGAACGTTGGAGACAGGCTTGAGAGGAAGAATGTTACTCAGAAAGGATCCAGAGTCCATGGTGATGTGGGAGGAGCCAGAGGTACAGGCCAGGCTGTGAGGGTGGCGACCCCGGACCCCTCCCTTGGGGTCTCTGAGCACAGCCCCAGTGGGCGATGGGGTGCTCAAGCCTGCGGGCCGGCAGGGCCTCCCTGCTGGAGTTGGGGGACATGAGGGTGGCAGGTGATTGGGAGAGCCAGAACCGGTTCAGACCCCGCCTTGATCTGCCTCTGCCGAGAGTGGAGTCTTTGGACCCAGCAGGGACAGCCCTGTCCTGCCAGGCAGTGAGGCACAGAGCTTGTTAAGCTGGGAGTTCTCTGAGAAGGCGTGTTTCTCATCATAGTCACCCCAATACCACAGTGAAAGGTGGCCTGTGAAGGTGCACACTGAACATCGTAGGAGCACTATGGAAAGGAGTGTCTTGGGTTGGGGGTTTTTCCTCCCCATTGGTGACCTCTGGCATTTAATTTTGACAGATCCACTCTGCTTTTTGTTGTGTTTTGTTTTGTTTTCGAGTTTGCTTGTGTTTAGTTGGAGGGTGGTGCAGGCGCGGCCCCAAGTGCTGCACAGGTTTTTCCTTCCCTGCACCTCATGTCGCCAGTGCCTCAGTTCCCAGCTGCCCAGTGACAGGCATTTGCACAGGGGCTGCCCAGAAGTGCTGCTGCGTGTAGGCTGTTCTCTCCCAAAAGCCTCGTCTGATGGGGTTTTTTCAATAAGATCTCTAGACCAAGAATTAAGAAAGGATCCAGGGCACACAGACCTGGCTTAGCACCCTTTGTTGCCACTACCTAGCTGTATGACCTTTATTATCTCACTTTATTAAAGGCTGTTCTTTTTGTAGCCAGGTGCTGTGGTTCATGCCTGTAATTCCAGCACTTTGGGAGACTGAGGTGGGAGTCCATGAGCCCATGAGTTCAAGGCCAGCCTGGGCAACATAGTGAGACATCCCTTCAAAAAAAATTAAAAATTAGCTGAGTGTAGCGTCACGTGCCTGTAGTCCCAGCTACTTAGGAGGCCGAAGTGGAAGGACTGCCTAAGCCTAGGAAGTCAAGGCTGCAGTGAGCCATGATTGTGCCACTGCACTCCAGCCTGGGCAACAGAGTAAGACCCCAACACACACACACACACACACACACACACACACACACACACAAAGCCTTTTTTTCTTAGGGGACAGTTCTCATACTCACCATGTAGGATTATGGGTGAATTAAATGAGTAGTATGCACAGCAGTTGAGCACTCAGTAAGTATCAGCTGCTCATTGACCACTGTGTTTGCTAGAAATGTGCCCCCGTTATTTGTTGATCGCAACCTCCAGAAGAATGTCATTTTCCTCTCCTCTTCCAAATGTAAAAATGATAATTTAGAAGGGCTGGTGGTGTACATCACATATTTTAATCATTATAGCTGTACTGTGGATAGTTAACAAATTAGAGCAGGCTAGGCACAATATCTCATGCTTGTAATCCCAGGACTTTGGGAGATTGAGGCAGAAGGATCATTTGAGGCCAGGAGTTTGAGACCAGCCTGGGCAACAAAGTGAGACACCATCTACAAAAAACACAAAATGTCGTCAGATGTGGTGACACACACCTATAGTCCCAGCTACTTGGTAGGCTGAGGCAGGAGGATCACCTGAGCCCAGGAGTTTGAAGCTGGAGTAAGCCTTGATGGTGCCAGTGTACTCCAGCCTAAGCAACAGAGTGAGATCCTGACTCAAAAAAAAAAGAAGCAGAAAGGGAACTTCTATATTATGGGCTATAGTCCCCCCACATTAAAGGTGAGCAGATTGAGGCCTTAGGCACAGCTGATCGGTGTCCTTCTTCCCTCCTCACCTGAGTGTCCACTAGACCTGTGGAGACACCCTGGAAATGTCCTGGATGCAGACCCGGGCACCGGAGGAGGGCCAGAGGCTCCAGGACCATGCAGCCTCTGGCTCAGGCTGGGCGGGCCAGCAAGCAGCTCACCTGGGGTTTGGGGTTGGCAAAGAGACTCCGTCAGGCACAGAACACCCGAGCATGCCCCAGACTCCCTGGCAGGAGCACAGATGTGCCACTCTGCGGAGCACCACTGGAAGGAGCATTCGGGTCCAGGTGCTGTGCAGGTTTTCCAGCCAGTGCGTAGACCGTTGACTTAAAGAGCGATGCAGGCCTTTCTCAGAGCTGACCTTTCTGGTGTCCATTTTGAGAGTGTCCAGCCCTTGCCTAACTCTGTGCCTGTCCATGTGGCCTGAGAGCAACTATTGTGCTCACAGAGCATTTCTTCTAGGACCCAAACCTCCAACCCAAAAGGCAGAAAGTGTCCATTTTTTGCCCTCACCTCCGGGTTCTACCTACTGAAAAAGGCCAATTTTTTCCCTAAACAAAAGAACCGTTAGCTTGTATCCGTTGAGCCATGTGAGTGTCAAATGCCGGGTTGACATGCTCCTGCCTTGGCTAGCCTGTGTCTCTGCGACTCAGGGAACAGGAATGGACATGGGTTACACCGCAGGCAGCTTGTCTTGTGAGCTGGAGCCCATTGCCCCGAGCCCTGTTTGGGCCACTCCTGCTGTTTCAGTCCTGCTCCTTCATTCATTCCTGCCACAGCCCTTTCTTAAACACCCACCTGATGAGGGTGCTGGGAACACAAACCCAGCCTTACTTCCTGCGAGATGGGTCCATAGGCTGCAGGTGATATCCCCTAGGAGACCGCCCCCAGGGTCCCTGTGCTTCTCCACGAATCATGCAGCCTACAGAGTGATGTGAGGGTGTCTATAGGAGGGTGCGGGGTGGCGAGTGGGGGAGGGTTGGTCCTGCCTTGGAGCCACCTACAGGCTGGCTCTATTCATTCTGTCCACTTTGGGCAATTGAGATGACTTCAGTAAACATGGCATTTGATTAGAGACCTTCACGAGAGACTTCTGGACCTGAGCGTTCCAGGGCCCACCCTGCCTCCTAAGGGACTTGGGCTTTTCAGGTTCGGCCCTGGCTCCTAAGTAGCCCTTTGCCATAGAGCCCTGAGCCCCGCAGGGCTCGTTCACTGCCCTGCACTACTGCCCACACCCCTGGCGCTCACACCCGCTCCAGGGCACTTGCAGGCTGTGGACCAGCCTCGTCCCCCAGGCCCTGTGCCCTCTGCTCGGCACACACAGTCCACAGCCATCCATGGGACGCTCCAGGATGAACCATTCTGGCTGGGGAGACACTGCCTTCTCTTAGCACCTTGTGTTTCACATCACCTGTGACCAGCAGGGCCATGGCCCTGGGCCAGCGAGGTCTGTATATTTCCCAACTCCACTGAGACCGAGACTGCATCCTCCAGAGTGTGCATGCTATTATGAACTCTCTTCTTTGTGAAAAAGTACTTAAACCCACACTAAAACTTTATTAATCTTCCCTCAGTAGAGGACTAATTTAAGACTCATCAATAAGATGATATTATATTTTACCATTGATTTTCCCCCCTTTTTTTTTAAGTTGTACTAGAGAAACTATAGCTCTTCTTCCCAGCAAAATCCATTGATCTCCTCAACCTAAACGTTTAAAGTTCAATTTAACATTTAGGGAGTAAAAGGTCTCCGAAGGGACTCGTAACCATTGATTTTGTGTCAGAGTTGAAGAGCTAAAGTTTAAAACACGTCAATCCGACCAGGTTACAAGAGCCTTGTACATACAGCAGTGTGGAATTGTGCTTCTCTTACTGTAGGTTGTTTTTTTTTTTCCTTTCTGCAGAGGTTACGATAAAAGCACTTAAAGAGAAAATCCGAGAATATGAACAGACACTGAAGAACCAAGCTGAAACCATAGCTCTCGAAAAGGAACAGAAGTTACAGAATGACTTTGCAGAAAAGGAGAGGTGAGCATGTGTCCAGGTCACGTTACAAGCCATTTTAAGGAATGGATCTACGAAATAAGCCCAGGTTGCAACCAAAAATCCTAGCGGCTCTGGGAAAAATGTTGTTTAAAAAATGAAGGTAGCCAGGCTCAGTGGCTCAGCCTGTAATCCCACACTTTGGGAGACTGAGATGAGTGAATTGCCTGAGCCCATGGGTTTGAGACCAGTCTGGGCAACTTGGTGAGACCTCATCTCTACAATAAATCAAGAAAAATTAGCCAGGCGTGGAGACACGTGCCCGTAGTTCCAGTTACTTGGAAGGCTGATGCAGAAGGATCACCTGAACCCAGCAGGTCATGGCTGCAGTGGTCATGAGCACTGGAGCCACTGCACTCCAGCCTAGGCAACAGAGTGAGACTCCAACTCAAAAAAAAAATGAAGGTAGGCAGATGCTATGGCTTGCACTAGCAGTCCCCGCACTTTGGAAGACCAGGGTTGGAGGATCACTTGAGACCAGGAATTTGAGACCAGCCTGGGCACAAGACCCCATCTCTCAAAAAATGAAATATGAAGGCGTGCATGTATTCTCCATCGGTGAGGCTTTCTCAAAGGAAATTTCCCAGTCAGTGTCTGGTATCAGGCAGTCCATATGCTTGAAGGTGTATCCGAGCCCTGTGGGAGCAAAGGTGGAGCACAAGGCCCACGCAGTTCGCAAGGTGGCACCTGCCAGCTGGACCTGAGCTGGGAGAGCAAGGAGAAGCCGTGGCCTGATGCGTGCCCTCTGGGGGTGCATGCTGGGCTCCTCCTGCCTTCCTTAGTGAGTTGACCTTTAATATTACACACATACACGCCCCCAAAAATCTTGGATTTTTTTGTTTTGTGTTGTTTTGCCTCTTTCTGTTACTTCACAGAGCTCCATTTATTAAGGAGTTGGTATCTGTAACATATGTGACTGTATCACCTAGCTGATGGAAGTTCTAGGTTTCTGATGGCTTCTTTTACCCAAAACTCTTCCCACAAACAGTGTGATTTTTTCCCTAGTGGTTTTTTCCCTAGTGTGATGCGTGGAAGTTAGATTTCTCGTAACTACGATAAGGACAGTTGCACTTACCAGTCCCAACTGTGTAAGTTGGATTTCTCAAAGCCCTTTGGTTATATTAAGATATTAAATTTTAACCCTAGCATGAAGAAATGTGTACCCATTAACAGGAGGCCCTGAATTTATGGTTACAAATAAAGGGCCAGTTTGGATTGTGGTGAGTGGGGTTTTTTGCGTCGTTGCAAATGCCTCCATGTGGTGGGCTTTTCCATAGAGATCTCCCAGAGGCTTCTCGGGAGTGCTGTGAAGCTGGCTTCCTTCCAGTGCCCCCTCTGCAACAGAATTTTGCCAGACACTCTCAGTATGTTCTGAGTGCCCAGGCTGGATCTGCAGTATAGACCATCTCTTTTTACAGAAGGAGAAACCAGGCCACAGATGAGGTACCTGCCCCAGCTTTCGCAGCTAATCAGGGCCAGAAGGCCTCACTGCGGGACCCAGGTCAGTCTCAGGGGCCAAGCCCAACCCTGCACATGGAAGCCACATCCCCACCATGCTAGGGGGAATGTGGCCGGGCACAGCCCCCCAGGAAGAGGGTAAGCAGCACAGAGTCAGGGTTCTGAAAGGTGGGCAGATTTGTGACCCAGTTCAGACTGAATTTTTCCTAAATAAATGCCTCTTAGGAAAGCACTTTATGGCCAAAGAGAATTCTCACCGTGTTGTTGATGATGGGGAAAAAAATACAAGCAATCCAAATGCCCTGCTGTCAAGAAACGAATTTGGAAAAGATGGGCCTTCCCTAACTAGGACATTATGCAGCCATTAAAATAATAATTGTGTAAAATTCATAGTAACATGAAAGCTGTATCCTAGCATAGTATGGAGAGAAAAATGTGGGAATCAAAGTTATATCCAGTAAAGTGTGATTACAGTGGCAGACTCATGGTTAAAAAAGCGTGGAAACAAACTCACATGGGAGTTGAATATTATTAAGTTGGCTTTTCAGATTAAGTAAAAGGATTAATTATGTTAAAAGATATGTATAACTGACTGACTCTTGGGTGAGGGGCTGAAGCTAGACCTTTACCTCTTTTCTTAACACCAAAAAATGGAAATGGGTCCGGGATTTAAGAAGTATTAATAATTAAGTCACAAACATACTGAAAGAAAACTTGGGTACATATTTTTAATAATGTAACTATCAAAAATTTAAAACAGCTTTTTAAGAACAAAATGCCACAAAATCCTTTTTTTTGAGTTGGAGTCTCACTCCATCACCCAGGCTAGAGTGCAGTGGTACGGGCACAGCCACCCCAGTGTTGACCTGCTGGACTCAGGTGATCCTTCCACCTCAGCCTTCCAAGTAACCAGAACTACGGGTGATTGCTACCACGCCCGGCCTAATTTTTTGATGTACTGTAAAGACAAGGTTGTACCAAGTTGCCCAGGCTGGTCTCAAACCTCTGGGCACAGGCAATTCTCTCGCCTCGGCCTCCTGAAGTGCAGGGATTACAGGCTTGAGCCACCGCACCTGGCCAACCACAAAATCTTAAAAGCGTCAGCGAACTGGGAAGAAATATTTGCACCACATGAGACAAAGTGCTAATGTTTTTTTATTTATGGAGAGCTCTTACAAACTAATAAGAAAAAATCAACTCTACAAAAAATGGGCAAAGGAGATAAGCAGGTATTTCATATAAAGACAAATGCTTATCTTTACTGAGTGGTAAAAAATTAAGTCTGATTTTATCCTGTGTTGCCAGAGTATGTGAAAATACTCATATATTGTTGGCAAGAGTTGAAATTGGTGAAGGTTTTTTTGGAAGGTTTCTCAAAGTCTATAAAAAAAAAAAGATTTGCACATATTCTTTGACCAATGTAATTCCTCTGTTAGAATTTTATCCAATAGATTTCACTCTCAAAATTATGTAACAGTGTAACAATATCTAGTTAATGATGGCTGAGGAAATGTTTAGTAGAAAGAAACCATAAACAATCTAAGTGTCCATAGAGGCTTGATTAATTAATTATTTAATAAGAATGGTGGAGAACTGTATTTGCTGGGGTAGTCCATTTCCAAAATACAGAGATAAACTGTGTTGTAATCCCCTTTGTATTGAAAGAAGGACTGGGTGTTTATATTTCACTGTAGTGTGTTACATTTTATTTCATGTTACACCATAGTATATTAAATATTACTTTTTATTTCACTGTACTATATTACATATTAGTCCATTTTACACTATAGTGTATTCCATATTAGTTCATCTTACACTGTAATATATTACATATTAGTTTATATTTCACCGTGGTATATTATATGAGTTCATATTATACTGTGATATGTTAGATATGAGTTCATATTACATTGTAGTATGTTACATATTAGTTTATATTTTACTGTAGCATATTATATATGAGTTTATATTATACTGGAGTGCATGACATTAGTTTATATTTTACTGTAGTATATTAATATTAGTTCATGTTTTACTGTAGTGTATTGCATACTTACATTTCATTGTAACGTATTGCATGTTTATATTTCACTATAGCATAGTACATATGAGTTCATATTACACTGTAGTGCATTACATATGAGTTTGTATTACTTGAGTTTGTGTAACACTGCAGGGTATTAGATATGTGTCCGTATTACATGGTAGTGCCTTATAGCAGTCCCCAACCTTTTTAGCATCAGGGAACTGTTTCGTGGAAGACTATTATTTCATGGCCTAGGGGTAGGGGAATCATCGGGCATTAGATTCTCATAAGGAGCATGCACCCTGAATCCCTCACATGTGCAGTTCACAGCACGGTTCCTGCTCCTTTGAGAATCGAATGCCACCACTGATCTGCCAGGGGGTGGGGCTCCACTTGCCTGCCGCTCACCTCCTGTTGTGCAGCCCAGTTCCTAACCGGCCATGGACCAGTACCAGTGCGTGGCTATGTATTGGGGGCTCCTGGTGTGTTAGATATGAGTTCATATTACACTGTGGTATATTACGTGTGACTTCCTGTTACACAGTAGTGTCTTACATGAGTCCATATTTCACTGTAGTATATTAAATATGAGTTCATATTATACTGTAGTGTATTACATATTCGTTTATAGTTTACTGTGGTGTATCATGAGTTCATATGACACTAGTATATTACATATGAGTTTATATTACACAATGGTATGTTCCTATTGTATTTCTGTACATGCAGAGACATCTTAGAAAGATGCAAAAGAACTCTGAGGAGCAGAAAGGGAGCCAAGGAAGAGGGGGACATTATTCTTTCTATGCTCTTATAATACTGGATTTTAAAAAAACTCTGAGCATATATTTTATAACAGAAATACATGAAAATATAAGCATTGCTTTTCTATAGGTGTTGGGAATGTGGGCGATGTTTTAAATGTTGTCATTTCTACCTTTCTGCATTCCCAGTTTGATTATTATGAGAGCATATGTTATATTCATATGATGTAAAAATAATAAACTTATTTTTAGAGAATTTTTTTTGTGGATTAGGAGAAAGGACTGCTATTTATTGACCAGGGAATTCATGTGGAGATCATGGGAGTGTAAATATGTGGAATGCAGTTGGGAGCACTCAGAATGTCCCCATTAGGTATTGCAGTTGCATTTGCATTCCATTATAACAGAGACGGAACAGCTGCCACATCTATTTAGTACATCCTTTATTCCAACAAATTCCTTCATTGTGTCAGCAGAATGTAAATGGATCATTCTTCTTGGGCAACTTCAGAAAACAATGAGTGCATGATGATGTTTTTTTTTTTCTTTTTAATATCTGGCATTTCAAGAACGAGTTACATTTAGGAGAACCTTCTCCACCAATTACCACATGTCAAGCCCCGCTGAGTGTACCCTTCCCTGCTCTAACATGCAGTTACAGAGTTAGGGTGCAAGAGCTCCAGGAACGGGCCCCACAGCACGTGTGGCCTCGCGAGCCATCACTGCTGCCCACTGTGCCCCACAGCAGGGAGCACCGATGGCAGCGCAGAGGTGCACAGTGTGCTTCAGTTGGTAAGCGAGATGACCCATTTGAGTTCATGCTCTTCCATTTCAGAAAGCTGCAGGAGACACAGATGTCCACCACCTCAAAGCTGGAGGAAGCAGAACATAAAGTGCAGACTCTGCAGACAGGTTTGGCATTCTCCTTCCTAGTCCTGTGGATGTGGGGAAGACCGGGGGGAGAGCTTGGTCAGGCTTCTGACCCGCCAGGTCCCCTTGGATACCTGTTGCTCCGGCGTGGGAGCTGCAGCGAGCCCACGCAGAGAATTCCGCAGAGCCCGCCAGCTGCCGGCTCATTACTCACTGACTTTGAGTTGTTAATGTCGAGGTGGGAGGATCTGAATTCCATTTTCATCCCCTCCACACGCCATCCTCTCTTCCTGCTCTTTTTCCAACAAACACATCTAAATCACCAAACTGTCAAGGACTGACATTTCATTTGGAACAATAATAGAAGAAAAAAACGTATTTCTACCCTAAGTGAAGTTTAAGGAGAACAGAAATTGCAGACCTTTAAAATTTTCAAGATACCAAAAAAGGGTATGCTTAAGTTTTTATAGTTTCTTTCAACTTCTTTTCTTTTTTCTTTTTGGTTGTTTCTCTTTTTGTTTTCTGCAATGGAAGCGGCGTGTATGTTTCATTTAAATGTGGGGAAAACATCAGAAGACATCATTATCCAAGATAAAACACAAATGGCAGAGTGGGAGAAAGTCATCGCAAGTTTAACAGACAGATGAGTAATATCCAAAAAATGTAAAGATGCCAACAAATCCGCAAACAGAGAAACAGTCCAGTGGCACCAGGAGCAAAGGATGCGAGCCCACAGTTCGCAGAAGACATGTGGAGGGCAAACACACTCCAGAGGAAATGCTTACAGCTTATAACCGTCAGGGAGATGCAGATTAAATCAGTGGAAGACTGCTGGGCCTCTCAGATAGTCAGAAATGTTTTCGATATCAGCGTTGGTGACAGTGCAGGAAAGTAGTCCCTCTCGTGGATAGGCGTGGACATAGCCTCTTGAGCGCCACCCCAGCATTGTTCATGTCAAGTTTGGGTGTCCCAGCCTTTTACCCAGCAACTTCACTTCTGGTGTCCTGATAAGAGGCTGTGTGTCATTGCTACTGCCTTTGTCCTGATATGGAGAGAGTTCCATGCAGGGTGCAGGGTCAGGCTCAGGAAGTATTCATGTCATCCTGTTTATGGGTGGAGAGAAAAAAATACATACGCAAACATACATGTATATACAGTTATGTATGGACTTTTTAAAATGAAACATTTAAAAGCATGAAATCGATACAGTCAGGTATTAATAAAGATTCCCTCTTAACAGCTGCTTGGGATGAGATGAGGTCGAGATGAAAGGAGACTTCCTGTCCCATTTTTTGTACTTTTATCATTTTGCCTCACTTGAAATGAGAATATGATCCTAGTGTAGGTTTTCTTTTAAAATTTAGTTTATTTGAAACAACTAGTATCTTACATCATGGCTTCGTGTTCTCTGCCTTTCAGCCCTGGAAAAAACTCGAACAGAATTATTTGACCTGAAAACCAAATACGATGAAGAAACTACTGCAAAGTAAGTCTCTTCTTGGCCCCTCTACCTGCATGTACCTGGTCAGGTCTCACCTGGTTTTACTACTCCTGAGAAACCCTGACTGCGAAGTGTGGCAGGTTTGCCGAGGCACTTGACCCCACATGGCTACAAGGACAGCGTCATTCCCATGAGTGACTCCCATCAGGTCAGCGCACATTCTAGTGCTCACTGAGCAACTATCCCGACTGAAACTTCTTTCTTTCAGGATTGTGGAGCCTGGTCAATGCTGTGCCTTTTTCCAAGAAAAGTTAGGAAAGAGGCAGCTTACAAAAAATGTGACCCAGGGACATTCTTTTGTGGTGCCTGCTCTGGACAAATCACATCACGTTTCCCATGGGCCAGAGTTCTTCACTTCTCCCAGGGCCCATCAGGAAGGCCTGCTTGAGCATTAGCACATTCCCACACAGGTGTGCACTGGGTATACCTGTGTGGACACATGCATGGGCAGGCAGAGTCCCATGAGGCGTACTTCCTATCGGGCTCCTGTCAGGAGGCGATCAGAGGGGTCCACTCCAAGTACACCTTTTACCAGCCTATCTTCCATGTAGAACATCAGAAAGGGAGAAACCGTGTTGGCATAAATCATGAAAAGATGAAGAAGCAACAGATTTTTCCTCACCATGGCCTCCTCTGCCAAAGTCCAGGCAGCCAATACCAGGCTAGAGTTGGAACTACTTTTTCTGTTCTGGAAGGCTTTTCCAGAGCCACAGCTGTGGCCCTTGGGCTGCCCTAGTCCAGTGATAAAGGTCCTCTGCTGAGCTCACACAGTATCTCTGTGGTCATTGCGAGAATAAGGATGCTTCTGAATAGCACCACCCTCCTCCCAGGCTCCTGTTCTCTACAGGTGCTGCCACTCAGTGTCCCTCTGCCCCATCGTATTTTCCCTTGGGCTTTGAGGTTGCTGCTGTGTTTGTGGCTTTCGGGACACTGTGGGGAGGAGGCTCTTGTTCCTTTGCTCTGGGTCATTTAGTAGCCTGAGACCTTGGGAGCCTAGCTACCCAATCCCTGTGGTCAGAAGCAGTTTTGATCATGAGCACAAAACTTATGCACAAGGACTGCAGTATCACTGCCAGGTCATTTTACCCTCTCCCGGTGTGCTGGGGTGTGACTTTTGGGTGCAGGGTAAGCTAGTCTAAGATATGGTTATGGTGAGGATTTCATTTTGAAAGCGGTGGCTCTGGTATTCACCCCTTCCAGCCTGCAGGCATCAGTGAGAACACTGTCTCCATCTGTCGATGGGATGGATGGCAGATGTGCGGCCCCACCCTCCCTAAGAACCCACAGCCTCAGAGTTCCTCCCTCCCAAGGTGTATCCTCGGCAAAAACCACACCCACTGCCAGGATGAAACCTCGGTCCCCTTGATGCACCTCAGTGTTCCTGTCTGCGTCCTCTTTTCTGCCAGTGTATCAGCTTTGTTTTTCTATGATTTCTGTTGGGACTCGATTCTACTAAGTAGGTTGGTTTTTTTTTAATAAATCTGATTTTTAAAAATGCTGTATTTTACTGGGCACAGTGGCATGTATCTGTAGTTCCAGCCACCCGGGAGGCTGAGGTGGGAGGATCACTTGAGCCCAGGAGTTTAAGACGGCAGTGAATCATGTTTGCTCCACTAGACTCCAAGCTGGGTAGACAGAGTGAAACCCTGTCTCTAATAAATAAACTTCTGTCTGATACATTGTGACATTACATTCAGCATTTGTTTAAAATACTCTGTCCTTCATTTTTAGTATTTATTTTCTAAAATCTCTTGATCAGTAGACTGTATGCCAATACTTTGATCCATTCACTCTTATCCACATCATTTGAGTGGTTGACATGTTAGGGTAAACTGAGACATGGTGGGCTAGTGCCATGGGAATAAAGCAAATAATTCCAAAGGGAAAGCAAGAGAGTTTATTCACGTTTAGAACAGACTCTAAATGGGGTTGACACAGGCAAAAGTAGCGTGGCTTCAGGGATTAGGGAAGGTGGGCTTTTAAAGTTTTAACAAGGAAATAGGGTTAAAAAAATCCCCAGCAGCTGCATTCCTAAGTATTGATAGCACTAGTCTTGTGTCCTTGATGTTGTCAGGGCACCCAGTCCTGTGACTCCTGGTAGTGGGCTGGTGGGCAGTCACAAAAGGCTGATTACAACGGATTAGGTCAACTTGGTCTTGTATAGCTGGAAAACAAAGCCTAGAATAGAGGAGTAATCAGTACAAGACATACTTGAGAGTTGCAAAACAATTATCAATAGCTACCTCTAGAAAGCTGGTTCTGTCCTTAGCTAATGATTAGGATTTGGGAGTGGAACAAACAGCAAAGTATGGCAAAGCTTAAGCAACGTTAAAATGGCTGTTCTTTAGCTAACATTACTCAATTGTCAACATAATTCGTAGTGACTTTGATGGCGATTTATTTGATCACTTCACTAGTTTAATTTGTTAATTTATTTTATTTTTCTTAAACCCCACCTCTTTCTAAAAGGCACGGATAATGTCTTGTGTATTTATAATTTTATGTATCTATAACTAACCAAAGTTTGCTTTATTATGCACCTTAAAAATAATTGTAATAACAGATGTTGGTGAAGATGGTGAGAAAAGGGAACTCTTATACATTGGGGAGGGAAACACAAATTAGTGCAGCCATTATGGAAAACGGTATGGAGGTTCCTCAGAAAACTAAAAGTAGGTCTGCCATATGATCCGGCAACACTTCTGGGTGTGTATCCAAAGGAAAGGGAATCGGTATGTGGAAGCGATCTCTCACTCCCATGCTCATCACAGCACTATTCACAGTAACCAAGGTGGGGAATCAGCCGAAGTGTCCCTCAGTGGCTGAGTGGATGGAGAAAATGTGGTGCATTCACATAGTGGAACACTATGCAGTTGAAAGAGTGGGAAGTCCTAGTGATAACATGGATGAACCCAGGAGTATTGTGCTACGTGCAATAAGCCAGGCTCAGAAAGGCACATACTACGTGAGTGTACTTATACATGAACTCCAGTAAGTCAAACTTACAGCAGCAGAGAGAACGGTGGTTACCAGAGGCTGGAGTTGAGGAGAGGGAAGGAATGAGGAGATGCTGGCCAAGGGTAAAGACTTGCAGATGGACAGGAGGAATAAGTTTTGAGATCTATTGTACAGGAGGGTGACTCTAGTCAATAAAGATGTCTCAAAATAGCTGAGTAAATTTCAAGTGTCTCACCATAGAAAATGAGGGGTAATCAGAGTGATGGATATGTTAAATAGCTTGACCTAATCATTCCACATTGTATACATTATCAGTACATCACATTGTACCCATGAATACATACAATTATGATTTGTCCACTAAAAATATTTTAGAACAAAAAACAGCTTTTGTGCGACTAGCCCCCAAGCCCTTCTAAGCTAGTGTTTTTCTAACTATGAGTCATGATTGTGAAATCAACTTCGTGAGAGGGGACCAGCTAGTTGGGTAATAAGATAGAGTAGAAAACAAACTAATAGAGCAGAAAACGTCCTGGCACATGACTCATAGTAAAGTTAAGTATTGGTTCTGCAACGCTTGTTAAATGATATGTATAAATCTGAAAGCTATAAGCACAGTCACTGGGTCGCAATGTACAATGTGGCTCCTCCTGCAAATCTCCATGTCACTTTGAAAGCCACTGCTTCGAGAGTTTGACTCAGCCCCCAGGAGCTGTGTCTTTTTGCTGTCCCCTCCCTCGTCTGGCCTTGCCACTGGCCGGGTTGATGCTGGTAGACGATTCACCTTCCTCAGCCTGAACCACCAGTGAACAGCTCAGCTGCCTGTTGGGCTCTGCTCCCTGCAGACCCTGCTGGACTGGCACAGTTGCCTCTGGAGGTGGCAGGGAAGATTTCTAATCTCCTGCATTTTTCTAGTTTTTCCAGCACCACCTCTGTCCAGGTGAGAACATTTAACTCTGGAATGGTCACCCAGTGGAGTGAAGTCACCCAGGAAATACCAGAGGCTTGGCCTCCTGGCCCTTAGACCTCTCTCGAGCTCTTACCGTACTGGCATCAGATGAGAAGTGGTATTTATTGATGTACACTCAGTGAGAAACATTTCTAGACTAATAATTTCCCATCATGTCATTTACTCCAAAAAAAAAAATCCAGACAGATGAAAAATCTACATCAAACTCTAGTAGGTGAAAAATGGAATCCAAAAGTCTGAGAGTCACTTGTTCTTTCATGTAGAAATGCCTCACCCCGGGGCTGTGCTGCTATCCACTTGCTGCTGACAGGGCTGGGGTCTCTCTTGGGGGGCACCCCCCCACACGCTCATAGTAAGAAGCAGTCTCATCTCCCCAGTGAGGAGCGGGACCAAGGGGTGTGGTGCATGTAGAGAGAAAGAGACTCACTGGGGTAGATGATGGGCATGGCTCAGAGCTAACAAGTCCTTTCATTTATTCAGCAGGACTCCCGAGAGGCCTCCTTTAGGCCTTGCCCCATGCCAAATTCTGCTTATCCTGAGCCCTTTATGGCTCTGAGGGGAGATGGTCCATTGCATTGCAATCTATCATGCCCAGTGCCCACAGGGTGCTGGCCGGGAGCTTGCCAGCAGGGTCTCGACAGGAGGCAGGCATCATATTCCTGTTGGAAACATCAGAAGAGTTCGCCCTTGAACCTGTTTGCAGAGGTCCAGCTGGGAAGAGGCAGCCCTGAGGCCCAGGGCTCACGCTGCAGCGCTGCTCCCAGGCCTGGATTTGAACGGGCCAGGGGGGAAAGGTGACTGGAACCCAGAAAGTGAGGGCACCCTGAGGGGAGCTGTGACCTTTGGGAGGGGGGGAGAGGGATCCAGAGGAGTGCCAGCACCCCCACTTTACCCTGTCTTTCCCCATGCTAGCTTCCAGGCAGGAGCTGGAGAAGGGAAAGGATTACCTTCCTAAGAGAGTAACATGGGGCTGGAAAATGGGTTAAATCAGGGATTGCAGGAGGTTTGCAACTACAAGGTCAGGTGAGGCTGGTCCTTGTGGAGGACCCGCCAGAGT